AAACCCGACGGAGTGCACGATGCAACCTCCGCTACCAGCCAGGCAGCCACCCTCACCTCTGCACACCCCACCCACCTTAATCCCTGCCCACCCCACCAACCCTCATCTCTGCCCACCCAACCCACTCTCATTTCTACCCACCCCACCCACCCCCCTCTCTACCCACTCCACCCACCCCACCTCTCTGCCCACCCCACCCTCATCTCTGCCCAACCCACTCCACCCACTCTCACCTCTGCCCCTCCCCTCTGCCCACCCCACCCACCCTCACCTCTGCCCACCCCACCCCACTCTCACCTCTGACCACCCCACCCACCCTCACCTCTGCCCACCCCACCCACCCTCATCTCTGCCCACCCCACCCACCCTCACCTCTGCCCACCCCACTCACCCTCATCTCTGCCCACCCCACCCACCCTCACCTCTGCCCACCCCACCCACCCTCATCTCTGCCCCACCAACCCTCATCTCTGCCCACCCAACCCACTCTCATTTCTACCCACCCCACCCACCCCCCTCTCTACCCACTCCACCCACCCCACCTCTCTGCCCACCCCACCCACCATCACCTCTGCCCACCCCACCCACCCTCACCTCTGCCCACCCCACCCACCCTCACCTCTGCCCACCCCACCCACCCTGACCTCTGTCCACCCCACCCACTTTCATCTCTGACCACCCCACCCCACCCTCATCTCTGCCCACCCCACCCTCATCTCTGCCCAACCCACTCCACCCACTCTCACCTCTGCCCCTCCCCTCTGCCCACCCCACCCACCCTCACCTCTGCCCACCCCACCCCACTCTCACCTCTGACCACCCCACCCACCCTCACCTCTGCCCACCCCACCCACCCTCATCTCTGCCCACCCCACCCACCCTCACCTCTGCCCACCCCACCCACCCTCATCTCTGCCCACCCCACCCACCCTCACCTCTGCCCACCCCACCCACTCTCATCTCTGCCCACCCCACCCACCCTCACCTCTGCCCACCCCACCCACTCTCATCTCTGCCCACCCCACCCACCCTCACCTCTGCCCACCCCACCCACCCTCACCTCTGCCCACCCCACCCACCCTCATCTCTGCCCCACCCACCCTCACCTCTGCCCAGCCCACCCACTCTCATCTCTGCCCACCCCACCCACCCTCACCTCTGCCCACCCCACCCACCCTCACCTCTGCCCACCCCACCCACCCTCACCTCTGCCCACCCCACCCACCCTCATCTCTGCCCCACCCACCCTCACCTCTGCCCACCCCACCCACTCTCATCTCTGCCCACCCCACCCACTCTCATCTCTGCCCACCCCACCCACCCTCACCTCTGCCCACCCCACCCACCCTCATCTCTGCCCACCCCACCCACTCTCATCTCTGCCCACCCCACCCACCCTCATCTCTGCCCCACCCACCCTCACCTCTGCCCACCCCACCCACTCTCATCTCTGCCCACCCCACCCACCCTCACCTCTGCCCACCCCACCCACCCTCACCTCTGCCCACCCCACCCACCCTCATCTCTGCCCACCCCACCCACTCTCATCTCTGCCCACCCCACCCACCCTCACCTCTGCCCACCCCACCCACCCTCACCTCTGCCCACCCCACCCACCCTCATCTCTGCCCCACCCACCCTCACCTCTGCCCACCCCACCCACTCTCATCTCTGCCCACCCCACCCACTCTCATCTCTGCCCACCCCACCCACCCTCACCTCTGCCCACCCCACCCACCCTCATCTCTGCCCACCCCACCCACTCTCATCTCTGCCCACCCCACCCACCCTCACCTCTGCCCACCCCACCCACTCTCATCTCTGCCCACCCCACCCACTCTCATCTCTGCCCACCCCACCCACCCTCATCTCTGCCCACCCCACCCACTCTCATCTCTGCCCACCCCACCCTCCCTTCTCTCTGCTCTTAACCAAAGGGTCATTTCCCGACACGTCAGCAGGGCGCCCCCCCCACCCACCACCCAATATATTTATTTATTTTATGGGCGGAGGTTGCAAATGGGTGAGGGGGGGGCACTGCCAAATGCAGCCGGGTCACCCGAGTTGACTCGCCGTGCGATGGCGAGCTCGCATCAGTCGGGGGGGGGGGGGGGGGTTGGTGAGTGATCGTCATCTGAACTGGTCCTGCCCTCGCTTGCCTGCCCACCCTTCAGCAAGACAAATACAAAGACACCCCCACCGCGCATAGCCTTGACAGACTGTTGGGGCAAGTGCTGCTAACGAGCAGCTATGAAGGCCGGCGCGGCACACGAGGGAATGGCGTGGTCGGAACGACGCCCGGCCACCTTTGTCTCCCCAGTGGCGATGATTACACTGTACTCGTTTGAGGCTGAGTCGACCTCGGGGAGTCCCACGACCGGTTCAGATACTCGTCACTGGTGTTCGTGACCCAGAGCGGGAATCGAACTCGGGGTCGCCGGGTTCGTAGCGCAGAGCGCTGCTAACCGCAAGTTACGCACAGACACCCACCCCATTCCAGGACCGGTGTGGTGAAGTATGGTCAAACGATGCCCGCCCGTGGCTGGGCGAGCGTGCGAGCCATCATCCATCACGCAGTGGCTTGACAATGGACTGTACTTTATTTGGAAAGAACTATAACCGGTTTATATATATACAGAAACCAGATGAATACAACCTACACCAAAGAAAATAATAATAATATCGCTGTGGAATATCGACGCCGCGCAGGTGGACTTGCGGGCGAGATGCGGGTGCGTGATTGAACAGGCGGCTACAGACGCAAACGGCCCTGGGGCGTGAAAGGGAATTCCTCTGCTGGTCGTGTACGCAAGTAGCCTCGGGGACACGGGTGGAGAGAGGTTGTTTTATTTTATTATAATACACAGCGCAGGAACGAACAGACGTGGTTCTTCATGAACCGCGGCTATGAGCGTAGCCGGTTTGTGTTTGTGAACTGGTAATGAAAACTATTAAAATAAATGTTGGAGGGGGGAGTTGGCAATACATATTTTTTTTTGCTTGAGCAATATGCGTCGTGTGGGTGGTGTGTTTGTTGAAGTGGGTGTAGCGAGCCCTGTTACAGGCAGACTGCGCGCGTGTGAGAATGTGTGTCTTTGTGAATCTGTGTATTAGTGTGTATGATTGTGTGTGTGTACGTATGAATGTATGTGTGTATGGTTATGTGCGTATGAATGTGTGTGTGTATGTATGTGTGTGCGTATGAATGTGTGTGTATGTAGTGTAGCGGTTAGCGCGCTGCCAACGCCAGTGACGATTACCTGAACCGGTCCTGCGTCTCCCCCATGTCGAATCAGCCTCAAATGAGTACCTGGCGCGGTGTGTAAACATCGTCACTGGGGAGACAAAGGCGACCGGGCGTGGTGCTGGCCAGCCACCGCCTCGTGCGCCGTGCCGGCCTTCATAGGTGCTCGCTAACAGCACTTGCCCCAAGAGTCTGTTAAGGCTATACGGGGGCTATTTGTCTTCGTATGGGTTGTGTGTGAATGAATGTGTGTGAATGTATGCGTGTGTACAGCACTTGTCTAAACAATCTCTGCAGGCTATACGGGGGATCTGTGTCTGTGTGGGAACGTGAGAAGCAGTGGCGCAGTGGTTAGCCGACATGTGCCACGAACCCGATTTTATTTTGTTTCAACGAGACGGAGGTTGCGTTGGCGTATGCTCCAGATTCCATTGAAAACCCACTTCACGTTCGCCGAGTGGTCACGTGCAGGGCCCAAACATCTGTCCGTCACGTTGACCGGCGACGCCTCGAGCGAGAACGGCCTCTCGCGGTGGAACGATCGCCAAGTGGCCGAGACTGGTGACGGACCTGACAGCCAAACGGAGGCGGACCCGTGATGGAGCGGCCGTGCATTTGAGCTTCCCGCGTGCAGCGACACGATTGATTGGGGGGCAGGGCAGGGGGGGGGCGTCATCCGGCAGTGTATAGACGATGGCTGACGTTGGTGATGTTCACGATGATGATCAATATCGGCAGAGTGCAGCACTCCTCGCTGCGTGACACCCCAAGTCTCTCTTCCGTCCCTTGGTGGCGGTGTTTGGGGAGACAAAGGCGGCCGGGGGTGCTGCCCATGTGTGCCTTGCCGGCCTTCACGAGGCGCTCGCCAGCAGCACTTGCCCTCCCAACAGTCGGTGTAGTCTTCAAGAGACTCGGCTGTGTTGGTACTCTCGTGTGCACGTCCTGTACCATGGACTGATTTCGCTCGGCACGTAGCCAACGGCGAAGTCAGCGCACGCCACTAGCAATTTCACCGCTCCCTTCGACAAATACACATCAGAGACTGGTATCCCATGGTGATTGCATTCTATGACACGTGTGTGTATTATCACGCTGGGTTTAGCCAGGAAAAAGCCTCGACGGGTCTCATGGCTCTTTCAGGAGGCGCGCGTTCTCTGAAAACAGCGGCTCCTCTTTCTTAAACAGCGGCTCCTCTTCATGCTCTCTGTCGAATTACAAGCGCGCACGTGCTTGCTTCTCTTTCTCTCTCCATCTCTATCTCCATCTCTCTCTATCTCTCTCTATCTCACCCTCGTGTTCACCTTCTGAAGCGCTCGCTCGTCACCGTGGCATGCGCGATGACCACCACCACAACCACCACCACGTGCCTTTTCTTTCGTGTTGTGCGCGGTGCTTTTAGCGCCACAGCGCGTGGATTTGTAGCGTTTATATTTTCATTTGTTTACTGGTGACTTTGTGAATTTCATGTCGAAATCGCCTCCAGTGCTTTTGCTGCTGGCGGCAATAAAAGTCGTTTAAAGTCAAAAGTCTCTCTCTCTATCTATCAATCTCTCTCCACTCTTCTTTGCGCACTCTCCCAGCCAGCCACCCCACCCCACCCTTCTTTGTTTCGCCGCGAGCGTTGCGCCGTTCTGCCCCCTCTTCACCCGTGGACACACCGCCGCTCCGCGAAGCATGCCACCGAATCCAAAACTCGCTCTTCTCCGTCCTGAACCCGTTGCCTGCGCCCGCGTGGTTTCTGTCTGTGACTTCACAGGAGACGGCGTCGGCCCAGGCCTCGGACATCTTCATCGACGACGAGGAGGGCTCCGGCGTTGGCGGCCAAGCGGGCAAGGACGACGACGATGACTCCGATGAGTTCGGATCAGGTGACTCATCCGCGTGAAAAACTAAACGTCTTCGCGGGAGCCGCGGTGGAGAGATGTTGACTCTCTCGGGCGGTATGCAGGAGGTCGGAGGTTCGATCCCGACCCTAACGCCTGCTGCTGTTATTTTGGAATTTGCGTGTCTCCCCCCCCACCCCCCCGTGGTCACGTGGATTTTGTCCGGGTCTTCTCGGGGTTTTCCCTCCACATCCAGAATTATCGTGCATTTGGCTGCTATCAATTTCCACGTGACAAGCCGCTTCGTTGGGCTATCATCTGCGGCCAGGTCGCTTCTGAAAAAGAGTGAAAGAGCTCAGTGGGCCTTACCTGGTAAAATAAAAAAAAAATTTAGTAACAAAAAATATTCTTGGCTCTTTCGGTAAAGTCACGTAGAATGCAAATAAAATAATAATAAAAATATCACACATGATGATGATTGCTTGTGTTGCAGTCGAAACGTCGTGAGAATTTTATTGTTTTATATTTTTATTATTTTATTATTTCCCTTCTATGTGACTTTACCGAAAGAACCGAGAATATGAATCCCTCCTGAATTGTCCCTGAACCCTGCTCGGCTACCTTGGTGTAGGAAGTGCTTCTTGTGTTCAGTTTGCTGTCCTTTCCCTGCACATCCGATGAGCACGGCTGATTACGTATGGTGCGAAAGAAGTGTAACATACAGTACATACATTGTCGGCGTAAGGAACCTCCTCCGAGTGCTTCTGAGTCGTTCTCTCTCTCTCTCTGAGTCGTCCTCTCTCTCTCCTTCTCTGAGTCGTCCTCTCTCTCTGAGTCGTTCTCTCTCTGAGTCGTCCTCTCTCTGAGTCGTTCTCTCTCTCTCTGAGTTGTTCTCCCTTTGAATCGTCCTCTCTCTCTCTGAGTCGTTCTCTCTCTCTTTGAGTCGTTTTCTCTCTCTCTGAGTCGTTTTCTCTCTCTCCGTGAGTCGTCCTCCCACTCTCTCTCTGAGTCGTTCTCTCTCTCTGAGTCCTCTCTCTCTGAGTCGTCCTTTCTCTCTCTCTCTCTCTCTGAGTCGTCCTCTCTCTCTCTCTCTGCGAGAGCGAGGAGGGAGATACCGTGTGGTGGTGGCGCAGTAAAACATGTTGTATTAGACATTCTTTGGTGATGCTGCTGCAGTGGCGCACAATCAACAACAAACAACTTGACGAATGTGTTTCATTTTTGGGGGATAAACTTTAAACATTCTTAGCATCATCATCCATCAATGCTCTTTTCACCATCCACCAACGCTCACATCGTCATCGTCAAATTCTACTGTCAGACTGGTCCTCACATTCGTCAAAAACAAAACTGTGGTCTGAAAATAAGTATAAATATAATAGGCGACGTTTCAGGCAACGGCTCTTCATAATTGTTGTTCTTATTATTTTCATCGCCGTCTGCACCCGAATTCGCATGCCCAGTGTCTGTGCAGGAGGGGGGGGGGGGTGGAAGCGCCGTGGGGGGCGTGGGTGGGTGATGTCCATGAGCCGTGTATATTTTCCCTTCTTACAAAGTTTCTCTGCTCGTTCTTTCTCTGCTTGCCCAGAGTCAACAAGGATTATTATAAAATAATAAATCGTGGCTCGATTAAATAAAAAAACACACGGAGATAGATTTTCAAAAAACACACACACACAGACAAAGATCCCCCATTTAGCCTTGACCAGGCTATTGGGGCAAGTGCAGCTAGCGAGTAGTACCTATGAAGGCCGGAAAGTCACACGGAGGGATGGATAACCAGCACCGCGCCCGGCCGCCTTTGTCTCCCTGGTGAGGATGTTTACACACATCGCTCCAGGAACTCATTTGAGGCTGAGTCGAGCTAGGGGAGGGCCCCAGAAGTTGTGTCAGTTAATCGTCACTGATCCAATATAATTCAGCCGGATTCTTGTTCTGGGCGAGCGATGACTTGGGTCAACACGAAACGTTGGTACTCTTAGTTCTTTCGGTAAAGTCACGTAGGTCAAAAAAATGAAATTAAAATTAATAAAAATAAAATAAAAATCACGACGTTTCGGAGGCAACACAAGTCTCCGTCATCAGGTGGGACCGTCACAGCCAGATTTGCTGCACCCGAAACGTCGTGATTTTTATTTTATTTTCATTCATTTTAATTTCATTTTTTTGACCGACGTGACTTTACCGAAAGAACTAAGAGTATGAATCATTGCAGTCACGAAAGCTTCAAATCTAGAACGAAACGTTGGATCAACATTGCTCCTCGCTTGGTTCAACAGTTCTAACCCACGAGCGCAAGGTCGGCCCAACGTCGGGCGAACGTTGTCATGTTCACTGGGTATCCCCCTTGGCAATCTGGCAAGTTCAGCAGCAGCACCGGGGTGATTCATCAAGCGAGCGCTGACTCGACGATGAAGACGCTCATTGATAGAATCCCGTCCGGAGCTTTGCGTGGATTGGAACGGAAATACTGAAGATGAGATGCACTTCCAGAAGGCTGATAGGATGTAAGAAAAATGTTTTATTGTATATTTTTGTTACTCTTTGGTTCTTTCGGTAAAGTCACGTAGAAAGGAAATAAATTAAATAATAGAGCACGACGACGTTTCGATTGCAACACAAGCAACCGTCATCAGGTAGAACTCAATTTGAGAGAGAGAGACAAAACACAGACACGGAGATTCACAAACAGACACACAAGCAGAGAGAGACACACACATAGACACACAGAGACACACAACATAGACACACAGACAGACACACAAGTAGAGAGAGACACACACACAGAGACACACAGAGAGAGACACAACACAGAGAGACACACAACACACACACACAGACACACAACACAGAGACACACAGAGACACACAACATAGACACACAGACAGACACAAGCAGAGAAAGACACACACAGAGACACACAGAGACACACAACATAGACACACAAACAGACACAAGCAGAGAGAGACACACACATAGACACACAGAGACACACACATAGACACACAGAGGCACACAGAGAGAGACAACACAGAGACACACAGAGAGACACACAACATAGACACACAGACAGACACACACGCAGAGAGAGACAACACAGACACACAGAGAGAGACACACAACATATACACACAGACAGACACACAAGCACAGAGAGACACACACAGAGATACACAACATAGACACACAGAGTTCTGTGTGTTCTACCTGATGACGACTGCTTGTGTTGCAATCGAAACGTCGTACTATATTATTTCATTTATTCTCTTTCTACGTGACTTTACCGAAAGAACCAAAGAGTAATTCCTGCACTCACGAAAGCTTAAAATCATATATATTTTTGTTATTTAATGCGGAGAGACATATATGGAGAAACGAGGCGTTGTGCATTTGGTGGTGAGACTCAGCCTCACGATATTTATTTATACTGGAGGAATCCGATCAACCGTGAAGCTCTTCCTGGGTGAACGCAGCCCAAGTTCGCTGCGTTCCCAGCACCAATTCGGCCCGTCCCGATCTCCCGTCGCGGCACCGAGGGTGTGGGGGAGACGGTGGTGGTGGTGGTTCCTGCGGTGCAGGGGCGGGCGTCTGGCGCTCTTCGTGTGAGAAGCGAGAGGGCTCATGGCGAAGGAATGTGACGCGCTGTTCCCAGCGAGTTCACGCCAGGCTGATACCCCCCCCACCACCTCTCTCTCTCTCTGTCACTCTCTCACGCTCACGCTGTGTGTTGTGCGTGTGTGTGACTCTGTGTCTGCGACTGTGTGTCTCTGCGTGTGTCTGTGTGTTGTGCGGGTGTGACTCTGTCTGTGTATGTCTGTGTGTCTGTGTGTTGTGTGTGTGTGACTCTGTCTGCGACTGTCTGCCTGTGTGTGTCTGTGGCTGTCTGTGTGTGTTACTCTGTCTGCGACTGTGTGTATCTGTGTGTCCGTGTGTGACTCTGTGTCTGCGTCTGTCTGTCTGCGTGTCTGTGTGTTGTCCGTGTATGACTCTGTCTGTGTGTGTCTGTGTGTGGTGCGTGTGTTACTCTGTCTGCGACTGTCTGTGTGTGTGTGTCTGTGGCTGTCTGTGTGTGTGTCTGTGGCTGTCTGTGTGTGTGTCTGTGGCTGTCTGTGTGTGTGTGTGTCTGTGGCTGTCTGTGTGTGTGTGTGTCTGTGGCTGTCTGTGTGTGTGTGTCTATGGCTGTCTGTGTGTGTGACTCTGTGACTGTCTGTGTGTGTGACTCTGTGACTGTCTGTGTGTCTGTGGCTGTCTTTGTGTGTGTGTGTGTATGTATGTGGCTGTCTGTGTGTGTCTGAGGCTGTCTGTGTGTGTGTGTCTGAGGCTGTCTGTGTGTGTGTCTGTGGCTGTCTGTGTGTGTCTGAGGCTGTCTGTGTGTGTCTGTGGCTGTCTGTGTGTGTGTGTCTGAGGCTGTCTGTGTGTGTGTCTGTGGCTGTCTGTGTGTGTGACTCTGTGACTGTCTGTGTGTGTGACTCTGTGACTGTCTGTGTGTCTGTGGCTGTCTTTGTGTGTGTGTGTGTATGTCTGTGGCTGTCTGTGTGTGTCTGAGGCTGTCTGTGTGTGTGTGTCTGAGGCTGTCTGTGTGTGTGTCTGTGGCTGTCTGTGTGTGTCTGAGGCTGTCTGTGTGTGTCTGTGGCTGTCTGTGTGTGTGTGTCTGAGGCTGTCTGTGTGTGTGTCTGTGGCTGTCTGTGTGTGACTCTGTGACTGTCTGTGTGTGTGTTTGTGGCTGGGAGATCCTTTGTCTTTGTGTGTACGCGTGCGTGCCTTCTGCTTGACATGAAACCGATAGCGCGGCCGGAATAGAATTGGTGGATGATAGAGAATGCAAAAATATAAACACAGCCATTAAAACAAAATCTGTGCTCGCGAGACAATGCGTCATCCGCTCACTCATCATCTACCCACGACCACCACGACCACCACCAATACGTCAACAACAATTTTGTTGTGTTAATCGCGTTGCGTCCCATTTGTTAATCATCAGCAGCAGACAAACCGCAGGCTGCAGAGCCACCACGCACTGGCCCAGTGATCCTCACCCCGCCGCACGTTAGAAACCATCGCGAGGGATTTGACAGCACGGTGATGATGATGGTGGTGGTGGTGGTGATGGTGGTGGTGATGGTGGTGGTGATGGTGGTGGTGGTAATGGTGATGGTGGTGATGATGGTGGTGATGGTGGTGGTGGTGATGGTGGTAATGGTGATGGTGGTGATGGTGGTGGTGGTGATGGTGGTGGTGATGATGGTGGTGATGGTGGTGATGGTGGTGGTGGTAATGGTGATGGTGGTGATGGTGGTGGTGATGGTGGTGATGGTGGTGATGGTGGTGGTGGTGATGGTGGTGGTGGTGGTAATGGTGGTGGTGGTGATGGTGGTGGTGATGATGGTGGTGGTGGTGATGGTGATGGTGGTGATGGTGGTGATGGTGGTGGTGGTGATGGTGGTGGTGATGGTGATGGTGGTGGTGATGTTGGTGATGGTGGTGGTGGTGATGGTGGTGATGGTGGTGATGGTGATGGTGGTGATGGTGGTGGTGATGGTGATGATGGTGGTAATGGTGGTGGTGGTGATGGTGGTGGTGGTGATGGTGGTGTTTTCACCATTGGTCTACTATCGGGGGCCACCACCTTCTGCAGGGAGGGGGGGGAGGGAGTGAGGGGAGGGGAGGAACCAAATGAACGCCACCACGCGCCGTCCACTTCACAGTGGGGATGTTGAAGATCCCGTGGGCGGCCGGTGTCACGGCCCACATTTGGCACGAACGCGCGTTACAGATTGCTTGGCCGCTACAGATGGCCACGTGGCGACGAGCCACTTCGTTGGGCTATCGTTTGCGGTGGCAGGTTGCTTCTGATGAAGAGCTGTTATAGCTCAGTGGCCCTTACCTGGTCAAATAAAACATAGTTGAGTTCGTATTATAGGTTGTTTGGGTTGGATCGCGCAAATATAAATAAATGTGACGTTAAACCCGCCACCACCCGACACAGCCAATGAGTAAGGTCAGTCGCGTAAACAGAACATGCCAATTCGTTACTAGTACAGCGACACATTTATATATTTACGCGATCTAACCCCAAAAAACTATAACACGGATGCTATTGTTCGCGAAAGCCTACGTGTTAAATAGTTTAGTTTTGAATAGTTTATATCGTTTAGATGTGACGAGTTGTAAAAAAAAAATTCACGCCGCAAGTCACTCTCAGCTGGAATATGTCCGTAACAATCGTCGATCGGGGGCCACGGGATAGAGCAAGGGGCGAAAGCTTCGGGCAGGACCCTCCTGGGCAATGAGTCACGAGACTCGGTGAGCCTGCGGGGGCGAGGAGAGAAAAAAACCACTACAATCGTCGTCGTCGTTGTTGCCGTTGTTGTTGTTGTCATCGTTGTTGTTGTTGTTGTCGTTGTTGTTGTCGTCGCCAACTGGTTTGTCGTCTCCACCGCCAGGCGCCACGACGACGTTCACCGAGTCGGCGTCCGTGACCCCAGGCCCCGTGACCTCGGGCTCCGTGACCTCGGACTCCGTGACCCCGGGCTCCGTGACCTCGAGCCCCGTGACCTCTGGCCCCGTGGTGCCGTCCGAGGCCCCCACGGACGAGAACGAGCAACCCACGTCCCCCCACGAGCAGCCCGGCTCCTCGCCCCCCCAGGGTGCGGCAAGAGACGTGCAGAGCGTGGAGGCAGCGACGACGCAGGTACGGTGGTGGGGGCACGTGTCTGTGTGTTTGTGTGTTTGTGTGTGTGTGCCTGTGTGTATCTGTGTGTGTCTGTGTGTGTGTTTGCGTGTGTGTTTGTGTGTGTGTCTGTGTGTGTCTGTGTGTCTGTGTGTGTTTGTGTATGTCTGTGTGTGTCTGTGTCTGTGTGTGCCTGTGTGTGTGTGTCTGTGTGTGTGTCTGTGTATGTCTGTGTGTGTTTGTGTCTGTCTGTGCCTGTGTGTGTGTCTATGTGTGTTTATGTGTGTCTGTTTGTGTCTGTCTGTGTGTCTGTGTGTGTCTGTGTGTGTCTGTGTATGTGTGTGTGTCTGTGTGTGTCTGTGTGTCTGTGTATGTGTGTGTGTCTGTGTGTGTGTGTCTGTGTGTCTGTGTGTGTCTGTGACTGTGTGTGTCTGTGTGTGCATGTGGGGGAAGTGGTGGCGACCCGAGTTCGATTCCCGCTCACGGCCAACACCGGTGACGATTATCTGAACCGGTCCTGGGCCCTCTCCTAGGTCGACTCAGCCTCAAATGAGTACCTGGTGCGGTGTGTAAACATCAGCACTGGGGAGACAAGGGCAGCCCCGGCGTAGGCATTGACCACAGCACCCTATCGTGTGCCTTACCTACCTTTGTAGGTACTCGCTAACAACACTTTCCCCAACAGTCTGGCAAAGGCTACACGGGGGATTTTTGCCTTTACATACAATCGTACAAACGCACATACACACACCTGCGTAATTGCACACGATTGCATATACACCTCGACAGGTGTGCACCTGCACACAGCCACGTGCACACCTGCACAGGTATGGTTAGTAAACGCCGTGGCATTAAACGTAAACATATATAAACGGCGACGTTCCGGGCAATGGCCCTTTCACGTAGCATACTACTTCAGTCGTCAATCTATGTGCTATGAAGACGGGTCAATGAGCGAAACGTCACCTGTTATGTAGGGGTTCTTTATTTTAAGGCGACGAACAGTTTTGTTGATGAATATTTAAAGTTGTTGTTGTTGTTGTTTATTGTTCTTGTGCACCACTGCCAGCAGCAGCAGCAGCAGAACCCAATAATGTAGTGTCTGTTATTTGGGTGTTTGCAACCTTTGGATGTTTGTGGTTAACGAGCAGTGGTTTGCATTCATTCATTAATCTGAGTTTACACACTCACCCATCCACTCACCTACCCACTCATTCACCCACCATCTCATTCACACACACACGCACACAATCACCAACCCATACACACTCACCCACCCACTCACTCACCCACCCATCCATCCATTCACACACACACCCACCCACTCACTCACCCACCCACCCATTCACACACTCACCCACCCACTCATTCATCCACCCACTCACTCACCCACCCATTCACACACACACTCACCCACCCACTCACTCACCCACCCACCCACCCATTCACACACTCACCCACCCACACTCACTCACCCACCCATCCACTCGCCCACCCACCCTCTCACCAGGCGGCGGACGCACCGAGCCCATCGCCGGTCCCAGCAGATGGAAGCACAGAGAGTGACGTCGCCGCCGCCACCACCACCGGCAGCTCCAGCAGCAACGTGAACGGCCACGTGGGAAAAGGTCGCGGCCGCATGGGTCAGCCTCCCATGGTGGAGGAATCGCCCATCATCCCCGTCCACAAAGAAGACGTCAAGGAAGGTCCGAGGGGACCTCCCGACATGCCGGCCACCGCAAGCGCGGCCGTGAACGACAGCCCCTTCGAGAAGACGGAGGTTCTGGCTGGTGAGTCCGCCAAGCACCGTGCAGCGCGACCGCCATGCCACCAACATCGGAGCCGTGGGCCCCGTGCCCCTGCTGTGTCACGTGCTGTACCCTGTGTTGTACCCCGTGCCCCTGCTGTGTCACGTGCTGTACCCTGTGCTGTACCACGTGCTCCTGCTGTGTCACGTGCTGTACCCTGTGCTGTACCCCGTGCCCCTGCTGTGTCACGTGCTGTACCCTGTGCTGTACCACGTGCCCCTGCTGTGTCACGTGCTGTACCCTGTGTTGTACCACGTGCCCCTGCTGTGTCACGTGCTGTACCCTGTGCTGTACCCCGTGCCCCTGCTGTGTCACGTGCTGTACCCTGTGTTGTACCACGTGCCCCTGCTGTGTCACGTGCTGTACCCTGTGTTGTACCACGTGCCCCTGCTGTGTCACGTGCTGTACCCTGTGTTGTACCACGTGCTCCTGCTGTGTCACGTGCTGTACCCTGTGTTGTACCACGTGCTCCTGCTGTGTCACGTGCTGTACCCTGTGTTGTACCCCGTGCCCCTGCTGTGTCACGTGCTGTACCCTGTGCTGTACCACGTGCTCCTGCTGTGTCACGTGCTGTACCCTGTGTTGTACCACGTGCTTCTGCTGCGTCACGTGCTGTACCCTGTGCTGTACCACGTGCCCCTGCTGTGTCACGTGCTGTACCCTGTGCTGTACCACGTGCTCCTGCTGTGTCACGTGCTGTACCCTGTGTTGTACCACGTGCTCCTGCTGCGTCACGTGCTGTACCCTGTGCTGTACCACGTGCCCCTGCTGTGTCACGTGCTGTACCCTGTGTTGTACCACGTGCCCCTACTGTGTCACGTGCTGTACCCTGTGCTGTACCACGTGCCCCTGCTGTGTCACGTGCTGTACCCTGTGCTGTACCCCGTGCTCCTGCTGTGTCACGTGCTGTACCCTGTGCTGTACCACGTGCTCCTGCTGTGTCACGTTCTGTACCCTGTGTTGTACCACGTGCCCCTGCTGTGTCACGTGCTGTACCCTGTGCTGTACCCCGTGCCCCTGCTGTGTCACGTGCTGTACCCTGCATTGTACCACGTGCTCCTGCTGTGTCACGTGTCCCTGCTGTAACGAGCGCCTGTTCTGTGTGTGGCAGCGGTGATCGCGGGGGGAGCGGTCGGCGTGGTGATGGCGGCGCTGCTCGTCGCCTTCCTCGTCCACCGCATCCGCAAAAAGGACACGGGGAGCTACGCGCTGGACCCCAACAAACCCCCGCAAACCAACGGAGACTACCAGATCGCTCCCACGCAGGAGATCTACGCCTAGACGGGACGCCCGCACCACAATCACCACCACCAAGATCAGCATCAACGACACCACCACCACAAACACCACCACCACCAAGATCAGCATCAATGACACCACCACCAACGCCACAAACACCACCACTGCTAACACCTACACCTAGATCACCATCACCACAAACACCACCAGCACCGCCATCAAGATCAGTATCAACAACACCTTTACAAACACCACCACAAACACCACCACCACCAGGAGCAACATCATCAACAACACCACCACCACAAATCACACCACCACAAACACCATCACCAACACTGCCACCTAGACCAACATCACCACCATCGCCACCAAAACCAGCAGCGAAACCACCAGCACCAAGACACCACCACCGTGACTCCCATCAGCACAATCACTACTGGGAACATGCCAACACCATCACCATCACAACCATCCTCATCATAACCATCAACACCATCACCATCACAACCATCCTCATCATAACCATCAACACCATCACCATCACAACCAGCCTCATCATGACTACCACCACAAACCACCACAAACATGCCACCACCACCATCACTCACATCATCACCACCACCACAATCGCTACTTTAACCACCGTCATCATTACCAACACCACCACCACTACCACCACGAAGAGATACAAACACCATCACCGGCTCCAGCCACAACGGAACTGGATCATCAATGCTGCCCGCTGCCCTTGCCTGAGCGAGCGTAGGGGCATGGGTTAACTCATGCCCAGGTGTAGTGTGGGTGCGCGCCTGTCAACCAGCGGCTCGGAGGCAGGAGGTTGGTGGATCACTCAAAGATTGTGCGCTTCAGAGCCACCATCGCCTTGCAGGGAGGCGTAGAGCAGACGGCAGCTTTTCTTGCGGGGGAGGAGGGAGAGAGAGAGAGAGGAGGGGTGGGTGGGTGGGTGGGGGGGATAGCGCAGCAAGTAGGATAATTACGTAGATTAATTATCTGGAGGGCGGGACAAATTGGTGGTGGTTCGGGGGAAGACGATGAGAACGTCAAGCTTGTGCCTTTATTTCTGTGCGTCTCTTGTTTGTCCTCTCTGTTTCCCGGGACCCGTGTACCTCGAGTAAATGGGAATACACTCTCTCCAGGCCGCGTGTTCGTGCGTGAATTTCCCCCGCGTCTGTCCGTGTGCGTGTGTTGCGTTGAGTGTCCCTGGACGTGCGTGTGAGTGAGTGAGAGTGTGCAAGTCGTTATAGAGAGGGGGGGGTGGGGGGGGAGCAGTGTCGCAGTTAGTGCGCTGCGCTGCCCTACGAACCAGGCGTCCTGGGTTCGATTCCCGAGCGCGGGGCCCAGCACCGGTGACGATTATCTGAGCCGGTCCTGGGCACCCCCGCCACCCCCGCTACGGAGTCTCAGCCACGAGGGAGACAAAGGCGGCCGGGCGTGTGGCTGGCCACCCACCTCCTCGTGTACCGTTCTGGCCTTCATAGGTAGGTGCTCGCTAACAGCACTATGAGTCGTATCCCCTGTGTGCGTACACGTGATATATGCGTGACAGCCATCACAAGCAATAATAGGAAAATGCCGTGGGACAGCCCCAGGTCGGCTCAGTTTTTAAAAGGCAGCACTCGTGGTTTGCAGGGCACCGCCATCCCCATAGGCCCTCTTAAACAGGCACACACAGACAGCACTTGCCCATTGCTATGCCTCGGCCAAGCCGGGATTGGAAATATCGAATCTCCTCTGTGTGTATGTTCTGCGTGTGTGTGTGTATATGTTACAGGATGTGTGGTGCGTACGTGTGTGTGTGTGAATGTTAACGCGTGTTAGGGGGGTCCATGAAACACGTGTTAGGGGGTACATGAAACGCGTGTAAGGGGCTACATGAGACGCGTGTTAGAGGGTCCATGAAACGCGTATTAGGGGGTACATGAAACGCGTGTTAGAGGGTTAATGAAACTCGTGTGCTTGTGGGCAGATTCCTGTTCAAAAACTGGGCGGGGGGGGGGGGGGGGACGATAGGGGTGTTTTCATAATCTTAAGTGTTCCAATAATTTCTTTATAATAATAATAATCACTCGTCGCTGTCTCTCTCGTGAGATGTTTCTGCCATGCTAACCAAAAAAAATATTTGCTGAAAATGTAAAAAAAATATTTGCTGAAAATGTAAAAAAAATATTAACCCCCCCCCCCCAACACAAAAAAAGCTTTAACCTCGCTGCTTTTAAATCGCGAGCACTTGCGGGGAACAATGACGTTCATGAAACGTACAACGACAGATCTTAATATTATATACTCGGCCGGGGCGAGGAGCCTGTATTATCCTGGAGCTCACACCGTGGCTTGCCGGCTGAGCGATCCCTCGATTTAAGGAACGAAACAGGAGGACTTCTCCACAAGTCTGGCTGCCGCCTGATGAAGCCGGTCGTAGTTACCGGCGAAACGTCGTACTCAGATTGTAAATGTCGTGGCTTGGCTCTCCAACACACAACCGGTGTTGCTGAGCTAGGGACGAAATTGGCAAGTTCTATTTTACGTGACAACCCTTACGAATTGGCTGTGTCGGGCGGTGGCGGGTTTAACGACACATTTGTGTTTGCGTGATCTAACCTCCCAAAAAAAACACTCGATTGTGGATAAACCAGCAGCAGTCTGCAGCTCAAGCTGGTCATGGTGGCGGACGACATCGGTTCCGCGAGCACCAGGACAACTTAGGCCTTTTGACTCGCACTGTTGGCCTCTTACGCCACCCTCCCCTATATACATTTGTTTATAGAAATGTTTTGAATTAAAGCAAAAATATAGTAACGTGGTTTAGGGTAAGTAGTTGCATAAGTATCGTCGGGATGGCTTCGTCCGGCTGGGCTCAATCATGGAGTTACTTCTCTCTGCCTATCCTCTTCCCATCGTTATAGTCGTTAAATACCTTTTTTTTAAGAATGATTTTCTTTCTCTTCTTTGTAAGCGGAGTTATTTTCTTATGCCTGTTACAGTCGCGTTGAGGATGGGGGTGGTGGTGGTGGTCGTGGTGGAGGTGGTAATCGTTAGCGAGAGAGAGAGGAGGAGAGTTAAATTGTAACGAGCGGTGATTCATTAACTCTTTTAAAAGTCTCTCTGTTGCTCCGGTGCGCTGTGGGATTCCCATCCCTTGATGCGACTTTGCGTGCGGGGGTTAACACCCCAAAACGTCGTTCTGAATATGGCCATACCGACGGACGTGCTGGCGGTACACCGGTGCAGCATAGCACAACGGTTCTGATTAAACAGTCTAAAATAAATGTTTGTTCAACTGACATTCATCCTCCGACTACTTCGACATCATGAGAACGGCTTTGACGCACCACCACCAGCACCACCACCACCACCCCGCAAGATGTTGTGACCGGGATTGCGAATCGCGGCAAAATAAATAATTACTGCGAAAATGTTTTGCTTTTTTAAACACATTCCTGCGGAGGGAGCTGGTAGGAACGTTGGGTTGCTCGGTCAATGGCCAGGGTCAACGGCGGCGTGGTGTATTCCGCAAATATGGCCGACTGTAAGGGCGGGCACAAGCCGGCGTGAGTAGGTTAAACGTTGAGTTTTATAAGGGCACCACGGGGTGACCAGCCCCTCCCCACCCAGCCCCTCCCCACCCTCCCCTCTCCACCCAGCCCCACCCCTCCCAATAATCCCCTGTGGGCTGGTGTAACCAGGAGGTTCCTCCCACTAATATATAAATACGGCGCACTACCGGTGTACCGCCAATACGTTGGTATGGACATGACAGCTGGCATCTTACCCAGCCAACTACGCTACGTGGACACACTCAAGATTCCTACCCTTTTCAAAAAGTCACACGCCGCAATTCGGTGGCGACGAGGAGACATACGTGAGCCCTGCTCGTCGCTCGCTTCGGTCGAGGCCGCTGGGTCGGAGTCTCGCTACCGACGTGGCTGTCGTGAACCCCAAAGATTGTGACGTTCGCGGCGCAGACTTCACCGTTGCGGGCCAACGCGTCGATCGGATTCTGACCTTGTGACCTCTCACGACGAGAGGGTTTTGGGGTGGCGGGCGGGCGGGGGGGTGAGTTCAGTCACAAGGCACCATTGGTGAGGAGCTGGAGCTTGACGCGGCCAGAATCTGATCGATGCTTTTGCACGCGTTTGACTCGTAACAATAATGATGATGATGTCTGTGTACATGTCACGATCGCCGTCGGGTGGTGGAGAGGTTCAGGGTGACGACGTTCCCGTAGAAAAACGACTCCCCGTACGTGGCCTAATGATTGTGGCTGAGGTCTGCACCGTCGCAAAACGCCCATGAACGACTCAGCTCATCGGCCCTTCCTGCTGAGATGAATGCGACAAAACATCTAAACGGAACATCTAAGCCGAAAAAAAACACAACACGGTATCGTTGTGTTGGCTACGGAGAAGACAACAACTGTGCATTTCAAAAATGAAAAGTGCCCCTTATAATAGTATGTAATTATTGTTGTACCGAACTTTCCGGGTTATGACATGCTGTGTGTTTCCCTGCATTTTGAAACAAACGTTCAGGGTACGTTTCACGATCCAATAGGTTTGTGTGCATGAGTGTGTGTCAGTGTGTGTACATGGGGAGTGGTGGTGTAGTGGTTAGCACGCTGTGTTACAGGCCCGGCCACCCGAGTTCGATTACCGCTCACTGCCAACACAAGTGGCGATTATCTGAACCGGTCCTGGGCCTCCCCTAGGTCGACTCAGTCTCAAATGAGTACCTGGTGCGATATATAAACATCGCCACTAGGGAGACAAAGGCGGCCGGGCGTGGTGTTAGACCACCCACCCCGTCGTGTGCCGTGCCAGCCTCTATAGGTGCTTGCTAACAGCACTTGCCCCTACAGTTTGGTAAGGACTATACGGGGTATATTTGTATTTGTACATGGGGAGTGGTAGTGTAGTGGTTAGTACGCTGTGTTACAGACCCGGCCACCCGAGTTCGATTCCCGATCATAGCCACCACCAGTGACGATTATCTGAACCGGTCCTGGGCCTCCCCTAGGTCGACTCAGCCTCAAACAAGTAACCAGATGCTGTTTCTAAACATCGTGTACCGTATAGGGTTTCATAGGTTGGTGCTCGTTAACAGCATTTCACCCCCAAAAGTATGTTAAGACTACACGGGGGGATCTTTGTCTTTGTCGTGTGTGAGTCCAGGGACCGGAATTAGACAATTTTATTTTTCACAGGGCGTGAGTCTTTCGCGGGTTATGCGTCTTGCAATCCGGAGAGTTACGGTAACGTCATGTTGTGTCCACGAAACAATGTGTTTGGATGCAATCCAGCCAGGTATCCAGCCAGGAAGCCAGCCAGCCAGCCAGCTCGCTAATGCAATATATTCAAACGATTGGGTACGTCTCAATCAAATGCCCGCCGATGGTGTCACAGAGAACCGCGCTCTGAAGAAGAACAAAAAAAGTCGAGGCCGCAATTTTTTTAAGCAACCGCCCGTGCCTTACGCAAGCGTCGACCCATTGTGTCGTCATCCGCGTTCGTGAGGTCATTGATTGTAGGTAGCTGGTGGGGTGGGGGGCTGGAGGGAGGTTGGAGGCGTTTCCACCCCCCTGACAGAACCACCGCCGATGTTGGTGAACCCATGAGCGTCGCTTGGCGCAGAAGGTCGCTCTCAACACACGCAGACGGACGGGCAGACACTTGTAATCGTATTTGTGGTTTCACGTGTAATTTATGTGACTCTCTCTCCCTGCCCCTCCCCCCATTATTTTTTCCTTAGACAAATTTGAAACAGTAACAAGGTTTGCCCGTGAATTTTCCGCCGTTGTCGCCGCTTTACTTCGGATAAGTGTTGTCTCTTGTTGTTGTTGTTTGGCTTTTGTTTGCACAACGCTTTGTTTAGTTTTTTTTGCGAGGCACGCGGTCGTGTGATTGGGGGCCCGGTTTAGGGGGAGGGT